GTTTATCATTATAGTATTTCAAGTTTTTGGTTATTCTAAGTTTATTGTTATCCATTCTTTCTGCTCAGGTTTCAATTGTTCAGTTGTAATTGCAGGGACAGCGATGTGGCTTTAAGCGACATGCCCATAAGTCCAGGGCATCCATGTTGGTACTCCACTGGTAGGTGTTTATGTGGATGTATAGGAGCTGGTACAAAAATAGGGAGCACAGCAAAAGAAAATAAATGTTAGATGATAATGTTTCTTTTTAGCCAACCATGCATTTAAATAGATAATTCACTCCAAAAGGTTCATATTTTTCTGTTTCACACATTCCTTTCTTCCCAGTTGTGCTAGATATTGGCTGCCTTCTCCTACCAAGCTACTCAAACCAAAACCAACAAACAGACTGAAAGCAAGAGAGAAGCAGCCTCATTCTTACCAGCTCCTCTAAAACTGTGTTTGCGTTTCCTTTCAGCTATACATTAATAAGCTAAGCAATAAGCTAAACATTTCCCGACTGTTGCCCAGAAAGAAAGCAAAGTGTACATATTGAGATATGCTCCCAGGCAGAAGTAACAGCTTGTCAAGGATGGAAAGCATTTAAATGGAAGGAACAGAACAGCAGAAAATGGGGATTAAAGATGGATGGAGTAGATGGTGAGCAGTGGCAAGGACAAATGACAGATGTTACTGTCAGAGGGGGGTTGATGAAAGGACTCCGTTCACCCTGAAAGAGAGGAATAATGGGAGATGACAGGGAGTGAAGAAATGAAAAGCTGGGGGATGAAGTAGGGCTCTCAGGTCACATATGGCAGTGGACACGGTCAATTTGGATTGTTTGTGTGGTGACTCCTTCATACAAAGCATAGTAAAGGTTACACAAATAGTCATGGGTATAGTCTTGGTTCTTTGTATTTGCCGTACAGTATATACAGTGTTTTTTCTGTGTATATAATGTTTGGATTCCTTGGCCCACTTTCCCGGGGCACAGGCTGGAAGCAGGCCAGCAGACCTGGTGCTGAGTGAAGACTGGCTGCACGTGGGGCTCAGTGGGAGAGTGAAGATAGAAATGCACACAGAGACACTGGACAGTGCATTTTGCTGAATGGCTTTAAAACCCCTGTAGAGCGGCCTCTTTTCCATTAGGCTCGGCCAGCTGTCGGCAGCAGCTATAACTAACTCCATACAATAAAGCTTTGGCACTGTGCTTATATCTTATACTAATAAAATGATAACAAGCTGTCACTGTTACAGTCTGAGGTAAACCAATCTCCTTGATTTATCTCCCTGATGGGGCCTTTATTCAAATTTTGCCACCTTGCCTTTTTAAAGTGCTGTTCTCTCTCATTTTTCCTCCTAACTCGCCACTATGAATTCTCATCTAAGTCCATATAAGGCGTGATCAAAAAGTGCTTGTAAAGATCATCATCTTGTGCAGCTCTGGACCATTTTCTGTACAGCTACTATTCTTCTAGCCTTTACATGTCCAGTTGTGTTTGGGCTTCTCCGATATGTCAAAACGTGATCGTTCAATTTTATTTTCATTTTCAGGAAGTTGCGGGGAGGAAAATATGGCTAATAGGGCAGGTGGTGAACAAAGATTGTGTTGATGTGGGTAGAAAATAGGTTTCAGTGCACTCACAGCTGGCACCACCACATTTCAGGACATTTTATGTGAGTGCTCCCCCTCAGACGTTGCAGTAGAACTCCACATTGACGGTTTCCCCCTTTACAGTACACAATGCTGTGATGAGCATGCTCCTGGCTCACATCATGTGTTGCCTTCAGGCTTAAAAAAACTCTGGACTCTTCAGGTTGAAACAGAAGTTGCTTTTCCCTCTCAGTGAACTTGCAGAGTGCTCAGTGTAAGTGGTTTGAACAGGGCTTCCAAGGAGCAATCTAAAAAAAATGGCAGTGGAGCTGAAAGCTGTACAGACATGACACAAATTGCACAACAAATGGAAATATTTTGAGGATATTCCTGTTCCAGTGTGTGGTGACTAAAACATCTCTTCTGTTTTGTACACTTTACTGGCAGAGTATTACAGGTATTGTTTGTATGTTTAGAACTGTGGCTTTCTTTGTAATTATACATATCATTCCATGATGTCCTTCAAAGTAGGTTGTTTATCCTTGAATTATGTGTTGTGTAGCGTGTTGAAGTATCCCTCGTATATAAAATATATGGACTCGGCTATTTTAAATATTTTTCCTATTGTGCATCTTAGTTATGTTCACATGGTGTGTGTGTAAGTGCAAGTGGAATGTCATGCATAATAACTGGAGAAAGCTTGAAAAAGTGCATTTTGGGTAAACCTTAAATTTGAAACATGGTAATTGGACTGGTTCTTATATAAGGCTTTCCTACTCTACTGGAGCATGCAAAGCATTTTATACAACGCGCCTCATTCACCCATTCTCGCCCATTTATACGAGCACTTTTTTCTCTGTTTTTTGTCCAACATTCATTCTCTGATAAGCATAAAGCAACTTGGGGTTCAGGATCTTGCCCAAGAATACTTTGACATGCAGACTGGAGCAGCCAGGGACTGAACCAGCAACCTTTCAAATGAATGGATGGACTTTTTTTTTTTAATGTAGTCATATTTTACCATTCTTGAATTTGGTATACAATGTACATAATATGTATAGATTGGATATATCACATCACTAAGGGGATTTTGGCTTGGATTGTGACTCTTAGAGTGGGTGTAAAAAGGATTTGGTTGTTATATAGGATGATCCAAACTGATCTAGAATAATGAATGGGAGATATCAGAGGTGAATAGGTGCACATAGCTCATTTTTAACCTTGAGCCAAGTTCAGTCCCCGCCTGATTTGAGCGGCGGCGGACTCTGGGATTGTCACCTCGGCTATCATAACACACATGCCGCTGTAGAGTTAAATATACTGCACACACAGGCACAAGATGCCACACATGCTGGAATTCACATTTGAAGCGCTGATGCAATGACTACCAAACAGTCCAAGTACTGGAAGGTGAATTTACATGGAATAATTCCGAAAATAAGCCCACTGTTGGACACACAAGCATTTCCATGTTCAACAAACCAAAGAAAACTTTAAGTTGCTTTTTATTTAAAATAGCCTCTGGCTCATTCGTAGGTCTGCTCCTTCTGCCCTGAGAAGGATGACAGGTTCAAGGAGGCGGAAAAAACAAATGAGCAAAAAAGATGAAAAGGGCAAAATGGAAATGTAGTGTTTTCTCTGTTCATTTTTTCCCCTTTAAGCGCTTGTCATGGGTCCAGGGCATTCATAAAGAATTTACCATGTGGCTAATTTTAGACCGTGCGGTGAGAAATCCTTCACTGAGCAAATCTGCATGTGAGAGAGTCATGATGTAGTAGATTGTGGCTTCTTCTGGAAACTGAGGTCATAAAGTTTCACTGCCATCTTGAACAGATGTGTGCAAAGCTCCAGATATTATTTAATGCTTGTCAGGATATGTGAGAATATCAATAGAAGCATAACACATGGGAGTAGTTGCTTAAAAAAAATCTGGTCCTGCTTCTGCTTTCCAAACATCTTGGACACTTTTTGTAGTTCCCATAAATGGCTCCCAAATTGATTTCTTGGTCAAATGTTTCTGCTAGATTTGCATGCCTAAGGGTTTTGCACAACAGGCCCGAGGTCTTTTCATTCACAAATGCAGTTAACTGTTACATAAAGAAGCGCTCTGCCAACTGTGTGTGCATCTGATAGGACATAATACAGTGTAACGAGTGTGTTATTCACGCAGTGAAGACCACCCGGATTCTTTTCGTAGCATCAAGGAAATCCTCCAGGATGTTTTACACCATTCGATCCTCGCTCATGTTGGTAGAGGGTGTCACTCACTGTTGTCTAAGGGGGGGAGGCACTGCCAGGGCACAAAGACACACATGCACACAGGCAACAAATACTGCACAGTCGCTATTGTACTCATGGACAAGAGCTTTCTTTGTTGTGGCATAAGAGCAACTAATGTCAAGACTCCTGTTGCCACACAGCGAGAATATCTCTACAATCCTTGGGACATGTTTTTAAGGACACAGTAAAGGCAATCTGGATAAAGAATAGGCTTGGATAAACTGTAAGTTAATGTGCATTTCCAGTCATTCTAGCAGTTTCTGTACATGGAACTGTATTGTTTATTTATGTGGTGGCTGTTGCTGCTCATATCTTCCTGTATTTATGCCAAATAAACAGGGCTCCGGGAAACATAAATGGCTTAACTTCCTGTGCACTACAAATAATTTCTTTGCAAGGAAACATCGACAGGAGACACAGGGCGTGTAGACCATCATAAGGCCTTAAAGATCTGGGAACATCATGAATCCTGTGCTGTATTTGACTGAGAATCAAATCAATAATTTATTGTGTGGGGAAAAATGTCATGCTCACTTGTCTTAGCGTGTTATAAATCTTGGACTGTAGGAGAGCAGCTTTACATGATTCACAGCACAGAATAACGTTTTTTTTTTTTTTTTTTTTTTTGTCTTATAAGATTTAGCATCTTGGTTCCTTCTTTGACTTAGACAAGCTGCTTTAGCTCCCTCAGCCCTCACCTGTAGTTTGAGCCAACTCTATTCTGATTGGCTGCATCTTTAAAACAGAAGGTTTGAACAACTGGTTGGTGGTGTTGTTGTGGTCACATTTGAGGACTGAGATGGAAGAAAGTGCAATCACTGTGTTGCAGATGTTGTAGGGGTACCAGAGAGTTAGGAGATTTTTGGGGTTAGGGATTAGGATTAGGGATTGATTTAAAAAATGTTTCCATTTTTCCCTGTTTCAATCCAAAAGTCGAATAGTTTGGAATAAATTATTATGGATTAAAGGCACTGCACGGGCCAGTGCACATCACTTATAACTTCCCAGATGCTGTGTTGCTCACCAGAGGTCACATGCTGTCCATCATTAAACTCTTGAAATGTGTTGGTTAAAGATCCAGGAAACTTTAAATCCACTTTAAAGTAACTGAGAGCCATTTGCTTGGTCTTCTCTCTCTCTTTTCCAGATGATGCAACCTAGATAGCAGCCTCGTCCTCCGCTCCGCTCCCCCTCCCTGCCCCTTGGCCCCTTCCTCTATCTTCCTGGACCTGCACCGCCACTGCCACCTGTGTTGCCACAGCCATCATGCCCCCCAGGAAGAGGACACGACAGGGCCTGGGCTTCCTGTGCTGCTTCGGCAGCAGCGAGCCCCCGGAGATCAACCTGAAGGACACCGTGCCACTGCAGCTGCTGGAGTTCAGTGCGCCCATGCCGCCTGCTGAGGAGCTGCATGCGCGTTTCTCCGAACTGGTGGTGAGTAAAGATAGATTCAACTTGATGAATGATTAAGTAAGCTGTTTTCACACTCACACAGGGCTGCCCTGAACTTTTCTAGGACTTCGTTTTGGATGTTAGTTTTTGTGATGCTGAATTGCGTTGATTTGTGAAGCAAGTAGGCATCACGTGCAGTGCCCCCTGCAGGCTCTATCAAGCCAGCATCCTTATCTAAACCAATATATAGAGTTGCAGGAGTACATCCTGATGATCAAGTGCAATCAAGGAGGGTGTTTCCTCTGGATGCTGCAATGCATTAGTCTTGCAAGCATTAAACGTCCAGGGGCTTCAGCAGGGGAGGAAAATTTATGAAAGTTTTTCACCTCTAAGCAGTTTGGAACTGAAGAAGCTTTTTGGATCGGAAATGAAACATCTTTAGAAAACTTAACAAAGTCTGTTGTCCTTCTTATCAAGCTCTTAAGACTACCATAACCTGGATGACTGAGAACCTACACAGAAAACATTTATCCTGCTTTCAGACTGCTGTGCTTCCCATGTTTGTTTTTTGGTGGAGTGGAATTGGCTTTTAAAATCCCATGTAAAAACTGGAAAAACAGAGTGAAACACTGCTGCAGACAGTTCATGCACCAAATAGTAACAGAAACTTATATATCAGTCTCTATGAAAGAGATTTGTGTGCTATTTAGTGGTTTCTCAGTCTCATGGCTGTTGAACAGAAGCCTTGCCCTTCTCCAAACATTTTACAAACTGGATAGTTTAAAGTGAAATCACATCTGTCATAAGAATTAATCCAGGATTTGTCCAGCCCAGTTCTTTTTCTTTTCCTGCTGCTCATTATACCAAACAATACGAGATCAGTGTCTCGAATTAGAAGGGGATTTCTTACAGAGGATGCCTTGATGGTTGGGTGAGGCCATGTCTCAATCGCCACTACAAATTCAGAAGCTCATCCTCTCCAGTATGCAGCCCACTCTTGCACTACAGTCCCTATCGTTGTTGGCAGAGGTTGATGTCTGGTCTCTGTGCCAGACTAGGATAACTGTACTTGCATGTGCCCATGGTGTGGACATGGATCGGGTCACAACTGCGTCAATGGAGAAGGCTGCTGTTCGCTTCAGCTGCCCTGCAAACAGGTCATGGCTTTACAGCTTTGCTGTTTCTGTCTCTCCATTTGCTCACTTCCAGTCTCTTGGTTGGTTTTGTTCCTGTCTGTCTCCATCACTCTCCTCAGATTTCCTGCTTCTCTCTGTCTCCCAACAATGTGTTGACTGGTGTGGCCACAGGACTGCTTCTGGCACTGCTGAGTGTTTGGGAATGCTAAGCTTTACTGCCTGCAGGATATATCACTCCACTGTTAAATTCAATTCAGGGGATCAATGGAACTTCCGTTTATGATAAGAAAATTATTCAAGCTTATCAAAGCAGATGTTTCCCCAGTAGTGATTTTTTTTCAAGCTAACTCACAGCATTATGCCCTGAATTTGTTCTTTAATAATGCATGAGCCATTAAAGTTTAGCTGCCTGTAGCTGCAGCATATTTATTGGCTTGATTGATGAAAATTCAAGCTTAAAAGCAATCAAGACACTGATTATCTCAATCAGGAGAGAGAAAAGCCTTTCATATTATACAGCTGTGAGGTCAACACAGTAATTTCTGAGGGATTAACAGGTTGCCCTTTGATATGCTGTACATGGCCGTACAAAAAAGTACTTAAACAAATTAGGCTTTGACATTAACGAAACCTCTTTAATGCCAGCAGAGACCAGTATTTCTGGGGTAAATTAAAAACATGCCGTCATATGGGAGCACTTAGCCAAATCATGGCAGTTTTTATGGTTGATAGGACTAAGTGACCCACAGCTTATTGTGCGGTAAATATTTCAGCTAAAAATGAAACTTACAGATTGATGTGCTGAATGAGAAGTAGGGAGGAAAGATTCGTCCCTGAGTTTAAAACCACTTGACTAGTTCAGAAAGATGATTCAGGGTTTTCTCATCGGACCAGGGCTCGTCCACTTTTGAAAAAACTGTAGTTCAGATAGTTGTTAGAGGGCCACTTTTGATGGCCTGTTTGTGCCTCACTGTAGGTTTCCATAACTAGATGCAACACTTAAAAATGCTTTGTGCAACAATGCAAATTAAATTTTTTATGTTGGACACTTTTAAATTGGCAACATTGGCACATTACTTGGGGCTACAACCCCAATTTGAGGCAAGTGAAGTTATAGCATCTTTGAACAAATATGTTAATAAAATAAAAATGTATTTAACCGACTAGCATTTCTGATACCACCTATAAAGAGCAGCAATATTTGAATGCAAGTCGACTACTGTGCAGATCTCTAATTGAGAAAAGGTGCTGGATGATGAACAGAAACTTTACATCCTAGGATTTTCCAGGAACATCTAGCCTATAAAAGTGTCTGCAGGAAATTCTTAGGTAGACAGTCAGGGAACACGTTTTTTTTTTTTTTAAAGTTACTCTTCACATATTAGCAGTAAAGAAGCAATTTACACATGAAACTTGTGTTGTAGTTGTGCACACAGTAGCTTTAATATTTAGAATGTCTTAAAATTCAATAAAGAAAAATGATGCTCCAAAATAATGATCCCTCAGCCTGTAATAGCTGGATTCATGTCTAGTCTGACCAATGTACGACTGATTCTACCTAATAATGTTAATCTGGGTGAGCTATTGGTTCTGCACATCTGTTTTACTGATCCAGGAACCGACATGCTGACACAGATTTAACTGGGCATCCAAAAGTCTGTAGTACCAGACCTCTTGGAGTCAGCCAGCCCGGACACACTGATTGTTACTCAGGCAGAGAACTGATGTGGAGAGAGGTGGACCTATGTTGCATGGTAGGAAATAAAGAAAAATGAAGAAAAACATAACATAGTATGTTTCTGTGGCAACGGGCAATGGGGATTATTGTTAAATGAAAGCCTTTCCTGAGAAGGAGAATGAGACTCAATGGAGCCTCTGGAGTGGGAGCGACAGATCTGGGCCAAACGGAGGAGTAAACCACCTCCATGTGTCCTCACATTCATAATGGAGTCTTCTGCTGTGTCGAGAGACACGCGGTGCACACTCGGCTTACTGTGTGTGTGTGTGTGTGTGTGTGTGTGTGTGTGTGTGTGTGTGTGTGTGGAAGGAAAAACTTCAGCTGACTTTTGGACTGCTGTCCAGTTTTGGATGACAGTGGACTAGAATAGATATAACAGACGTATAACTGTGGTGATGAACCTTATTACCTCTTATGACATGAACAGTATTTTGGCCACTGTTGAAAGAAACGATATGAATTTGTGGCATTTCAAACCTACAGTATCCATGCCTACTTTCAGCAGCAGAATGATGTAAAAATATAGCAAATTATGCACAGTTTAATACTGTACATGCTGACATCTCTAAGGAAATATAACGAGAAAATATTACTAAAAGGCAACTGTACTTATTTTTGTAATCTGAGACTGTATTTTTCCTTTGAGTGCAGAGACTTGTGATAATAAAATACAGTAAATTTTTCAAGTTGTTATTAATATTTTTTCTCATGTACAATATTTAACTGTTTACAAAAAACATACAAGAAGCTTCTCTACAGTTGTTTTTTTTTTTCTTTATAAACACATGAGAATAACATCTCATGCAAGTACAGTTTAGTTTTTGTAAATTCAACAATGTGCTTGGAAACATTCCTCAGAGATTTTGGTCCATAGTGAAATGATAACATCACATAGTTGCTGCAGGATTGTCGGCTGCACATCCATGATGAAAATTTCCTCTTTCACCACATCCTATAGGTGCTCAAAGTCTTTGTCATTGTCAGTAAACCAGCTGATGTGATATGACCTTTGTGACATGGTGCGTTATTCTGCTAGAAACGGCCATCAGAAGATCTCATGAGATGAGCATTGTTGTTGACCACATCCATCCCTTTATCACCTCAGTATACCCAAGTACAGTAAGAAGTGATGCTGTGATGCAGGCAAGGGCTCATCAACTCTCCCAAAGCCATGTTCAAAGTCACTTACATTACTTTTTTTCACCATTCTGATGCTCAGTTTAAACTTTAGCAAGTGATCTTGACCATGTCTATATGACTGAATTCACTGTGTTGCTCACATGTGTTTGGCTGGTTAGATATTTACATTAACCAGCAGTTGAATTGGTGAGTATGGCATGTATTGGATGATTATGTCACTTGTTTTGTGTTAAGACTTTGATGTTGTGTTTGTGGGACTGCCTGCCAAACAACAAATAATCAAGTGAGACAAGGGTTCATAAACCCTGGCAAATCTGACTGGGACGTTTCTTACAGTCTTTTTTTTTTTTTACTTTATTAGAAGCCTCTGCCAACATTCCTGCTGTTTCATGATAAACGCAGGTGCTTGGTAATGTAGAAAAACAGAGAAGACATATTGTCTCCAGTTTATAGCTCACTAAGCTAATTTTTGCAGAATAAGCACATGTGGGATCCATCCTTGGTTACCTTGAGTAAACACGGACTCTCCTTTTTGAAATGTGGAACATCTCAACCCGGAGAAAGCCTGTAGGAAAAAAAAACGTTTCCAAGTCTCTCATGGAGCCTCCTGTTCATGATGGAAAAACTCAGCAAACTCATGCAAATGAACCTGGAAGCAATCCCCATGGATTCTGACACAATAAGTAAAGACCACATCTGAAGGGACTAATGGATCACATCAGTTAAAGTACACATTTGCAGCTGGCTGCACAGTTTCCTGATAGCAAATGCGCTGCAGTTCTGGGTTCTGTTTTTTGGATCTGGGTGCATTTTAAATGGCTTTTTTCCACCAGTGCTTCAGGACTCTCACGCATAGTTGATATGTAGGCCATGTGGGTTGTCTGGCTGCGCACCAAAAACATTGACAGCTTTATTTTTGTTTATCGGGGCAATTCTCCGCTAACAACTTTTTATCAACAAACTTGAAATTACTCTCGTATTTGGGTAATTGAAAATGAGCTCTCCCTAATCATGTTGGGCACATTTCT